TATACTGTTATAGGAATATACATATTTTCTTTTTTGTTTGTTTTGAAATGAATATATTTCAGTTTACAAATTATAAATATTAAGAACTAAGCAGCCCAATTGTATCTTAGAAAAAATAATTATATCAATGAATGAATTAATTTGCCAGTCTATGAAAAAGAAATCTCCATTGGTAGACTTCAATATTAGGGATTTTTGAACACTCTACTCCAGTAAACCCCTCGATTTAAAAGGCATGATTTGTAGGTAGTACCAGTAAAGTTTCTGTAGAACCCATTGATGAGAAAACCAGGATATAAACTTATCTGGATTTGGAATCAGCAAAATAAATAATGATTTTTCTCTGCATCTACAAAAATAAAAAAACAAATGATAAAGTTTTATCTTCAAACTTGAAGTAAGAAAACACTTAAAAAAAAAGTTTAAAGGTTTTAAATATTTTTAAAGGGATATCCTAGCACCAATCTTTTGGTTGTAATCACTTTGTGACCTAAGGAAAATTATGTAACCTCTCTGAGCCTCAGTTTTCTCATCTGTAAATTGAGCATTTAAAAAAAGAAACAACTTACAGGACAATGTGGAGATTCCTTCAAGAGGGAAATATATAGACCGTGCTTCCTACAGTGACTGAATTACTATCATTACTTTAACAGCTTACTAGCAAAATAATGATGTATTCCAAAAATGTAAATGTGCTAAAGGAGTAACATTAAACTTTTGAGTGCCCCAAAGTGGATACTGGTATGACATACTTCTGAATTCTTTTCAATAGAATATACCAAAAATAAAATAACATTTATTTAATAATAAGATAAGCTTAGAGTTTTGAATATTTATTATAACATCTTCAGCTTTTTTCCTCTAATATGTGAGATTATTTTTTTACACTGAGTGAACCGACACACCATCAAATATCATTTTGTGAATTTGCATATGTGTGTTTGTGTGTGTATGTGTATATGTATGTGTGTATGTATACATATATAGATATATATGTATTTGTACTTTCTTTTACTTCTAGTCTTGTTAGAATTGTATGTTAATATGGAGTAAATGAGGCTATAAAGAAAGCCTTTTTAAAAGCTCTAGCCCTTTATGTGTCCTTTCATCTCTTTATGTGATATTAGCAGTATAAGTCATTAGCTAAATATATTAATACATTAAGAGTAGAAAATGGTGTATCCTAATTCGATCATTCCTTCTTCATTTATTAACTGAAATATTTCAGTAAGAGAAATGCACTGCACCCTGGTGGTGCAGTGGTTAAGAATCTGCCTGCCAATGCAGGGCACACAGGTTCGAGCCCTGGTCCAGGAAGATCCCACATGCTGTGGAGCAACTAAGCCCGTGTGCCACAACTACTGAGCCTGCGCTCTAGAGCCCGTGAGCCAAAACTACTGAAGCCTGCGCGCCTAGAGCCCGTGCTCCGCAACAAGAGAAGCCACTGCAATGAGAAGCCCGCGCACTGCAACGAAGTGTAGCCCCCACTCACTGCAACTAGAGAAAGCCCATGCGCAGCAGTGAAGACCCAACGCAGCCAAAAATAAAATAAATAAAAATAAATAAAAATAAATAAAATAAATAAATTAAAAAAAGAGAAAAGTTCATTAACTATTTCCTTATTCAGAAGTATTTCATATAGAAAAAGCAAAATAAATGTTTTATTCTTTTCAGATTATTTACCAGTTTTTAAAAATAATGATTTCCTTGTGTACTGCAAAAGTTATTAGTAGTTATTAGTAGGTATATTTTATCATTATGAATGCATGGATTTAAGCATGTTTGAAATGTTTCAATCCCTTATAGTCATTAACCTTGTGTATGATCAAATTATAAATTTTTGGTCAGTGGAAGCCTATGCCAGTTGGTTCCTGTGTCCTTTTTACATGACCCTAGTAAACATTGATATATTCCCTGATTTGGTATAAGGACTATAAAGCACCACCAGTGAAGTAATCTTACAAAAAATAAAAATAATTGGAACCTAGATCTGGTCAAGCCACTAAATATATCTACCAATTTAAAGGAAATACAGGGAATGGGGGAACATGTTCAATGATATCTCACAGAAAGGAAAATCTGGAATGTGGGATAAGACCACTTTTGTGGGTCAAAATTTTTGCTAGTAAATTTGATTTCATGTAGTGAAAAGATAACTGGCTATTTGAAACAACAGTGAGATACTATTGCACACCTGTTAGAATGCCTTAAAAAATATGGACAATACCAAGTTCTGGTGAGAATGTGGAACAATTGGAAAACCAGACATTCTGCTAATGGGAAAGTAAAGCTTTACAGCCATTTTGGAAAACAGTTTTACAGTCTCGAAGAATTAGCATTCTTTATATAACCCAGCAATCACTATTTACCATGGAGAAATGAAAGCATAGGTTCACATAAAAATCTGTATATGAAAGTTCATCAGCTAGGGAATTCCATGCAATAGAATACTTTTCAGCAATAAAAAGCAACTGAATGTTCAGTTGTATATATAGCAACATAGATGAATCTCAAATGCATTATGCTGAGTGAAAGAAACCAGGCTCAAAAAGTTTCATACTGTATAATTTCATTCATTTGACATTATGGGAAAGACAAAGCCATAGGTACAGGAGTCAGATTAATGGTTGCTTGGGGCTGGGGTGGGGAAATGATTCATCATAAAGGATCACAAGGGAAATTCTGGTGGTGATGGAAATATTCTATAGCTTGATTGTAGTGGGGGTTACATGGAAGTAGGAGTTTGTCACAATCCCTAGAAATGTACATTTAAAAAAGGTGAATTTTATTGTAAGTAAATCATACCTCAATAAACCTAACTTTAAAAAAAGAAAATGGGGGAACCCATAGATTAAGAAGAAAAAAAAAAACAAGACCTCACCATAATGTATAGAACCTATTTGGATCTTGACTTTCTGTTAAAATAAGTTGAGACCATAGGAACATTAAACAATGACTGGATATTTGATGATGTTAAGTAATACATACTATTTATAGTAGTGAATTGTTATTGTAGTTATATTAAGAGGAGTCTTTATCTTGGATATACGTACTGAAATTTTTACAGATGAAATCATATGATTACTGGAATTTGCTTCAAAGAAATCTTGCAGTGAGAGTAGGTAAACGTATAGATGAAATAAGATTGGCTATAGGTTTGTAATTATTGAGGCAGAGTGATTAGTGCAATGAGGGTTCATTGTACTGTTTTCTCCACATTTTAAATTATTTTTGAGAATTTTGCACAATAAAAATTAAAGAATTATGGCTCAGTTTTACAAATGTATGCTTAGTGAATATACTGGAAGAATATTCTGTAATGAGTATGTGGAGTTTATCCCAGAAATTTAAGCATGGTTTCATACTAAAATTCAATAAAATGTATCACAGTCAAATAAGAAAACCCACCGAGTCCTTGCTATAGACCCTAAACAGCAGATGCCAAGAAACAGACTTCCAGTGACATTTTTTAAAAACTACAAAAACCCCTCCACTTTTTTAACTAGATGAAGAACTAAAACTCATGATGAGATACCAAAGGATTGTTTCTCAGAGTTCAGTCCATGATTGCCATCTGTGGGACTTGAAGGTAATAGTTAAAATCTGCTGAAACATGGGCACTGCACATTAACCTGCTGGAAACACTTCAAAAATCCTCTCCTGTTGATCTCCATCTATCTTTCTGGCCTCACTTCTATGCTCCTAGTTCCCCCAAATAATCTCCACTCCTACTCCCCTTTCCAGCAACTGAGAACTGATTTAGTCATAGCTCAGTTACTTTATAGAAGGTATTCTAAAATAAATTTGTTTCTCATCACATCTGATTAAAGACCCCCTCATCCTAGCCCAGCCCAAATTGCATTTCCTTTATGAAATTGTCCCAGACCTGCCCTACCAGCCTTAGCCTAACTTAATTGCTAAGCTATTTATTATATAGTGTTCAATTTTAGAATTTAACAGAGTATGTCCGGATTATTTGTTTGCATGTCTTCTCAACCAGATTATGAGTTACATTTGGTCAGGGAAAAAGGTGCATGGTTTTTATTTTTGCTTTTGCGTTCTTTAGCAGTAAGTGTACTAACACATACGATAATAATGTAATCTACACTTTAAAAATATAGATTTCTTCAAAATGAGTTGTTTTCATACTTTGCCAATCATATAAGGGCATTTAATAATACACAAAGAAAATATACAGACAGGCCTGCTTTAAAAGTTTTTCTTTCTTTAATGTGGTATAAAAAAGACTATATATGAAAATGGGGGGAAAAGCAAAGGTGATTATTTCATTGTTGGTTTGCAAAGTGACCCTGTACTCATGCAGGGCAAGGAAAGAGAACAAAGAAACAGGTAGATCCCTCCAGATTGGTAGGTGGCAGGTTTAATAAGCAAGGGAGCTTATGCACAAGGCTTGTCTTGGGCAGCTGTCAGATGAGTAGATCTCTACACTTGACCACCAGAGGCTTAGAGATTTCAACTGGGTTCAGTCACGTATACCATCCAGATGGTTTCAGTAGCACCTTATTCTCTCAGGGCTCTGTCCTTGGGACAGCTATCACTGTGGGAATGATAGGCAGAGCATAGTTCTAAGGACAGGGGAGGAGCTGAGGAACCTCCCACCTATTGCTCAGGTCCAGCTTGAGTCATCTGGTGGTCATATCCTCTTGATTAACCCCTCCAACATTCATCAATTTTAAAAGTCAGCTATTAAAAATGACTTTGTTAGTACTGTTACTCAGTCATCTATTTCATTTAGCATTGTTAAACACCACGCTATTTTAAAATTAATTTATAACCACCTTATATATTTTATATTTACTCAATATTATTATTATATATTAAGATTTAGTACCTACAAATAATTTTAAAGTAATTCAACTTATTAAAGCTAATCCAATGAATAATACTAAAGGTTGTTGACATTAGTGATTTAAATAACTGATTCATTGTTATGTCAATTGAGAAGTTCATGCAAGTTTTTTTGTTTTGTTTAATTCCAGTTGTGTTGCTTGATACAACAACTGTCCTGGGAGAGCTAGGATGGAAAACATATCCATTAAATGGGGTAAGTTTAAATATCTTTTAAAATTGTTTTTCTTGTTAGGTTTTTAGGGTCTGTTATAATAGTTAAAGAAAGAGAAACAGTGTGGTTTTGGCTGTATTAAGTATGAATTTTAGTGTATAAAATTACACAGGAAAGATTAAAATGCAATTAGAACTGCTAACCAATGGGAATGATATATAAAATTCTTTGCTTTCTTCTAAATTAGTAATTGTTCTTTAATATAGTGTTTATATATAGTAGTATTAGAATAGCTATCATATAAATATTTTCTTTAGAAATAAAATTTTATGTTCAAGACACTTTTTTTTCTGTGTATATGCCTGTTAAATTTGGTAACCTCGCTGAGTATTTGTACATAAACAAACTTTAGATTATCATAGCATAAGTGTATTTTCCAGATACTAACAATTTGGTATTCATTAGAAAATATGAGTATGCTAAAGCAGTATGTGTCTTTTGAACTTGGCAAAAAGATACATTATTATCAGGCTTTTGTTAGCTGAGTGTAGTTGCTTTTGAAAGGCTTATAAGAATGTATAATTTATTTACTAAGTACACTTTTCCAGGTACTGACATCATTTTAGCTATGGTTGTACTTGACTTTTTACATGTTTTGATATATGTTGCATCATTTTCACAGTCAGTGTATTCCTACTATTTTTTTCATTTCAAGCTAAAATAAAAAGGGTGGTTTGTGATGCTTTTTACCTAGATTTTGTCTATTTAAACAAATCTTCAATAATGGAGGTAGTCAGCTGTTTTCAGATATACTTTGGTTAGCTTTTCTTCCTTTTATTAGAAATTGTATTTTTCTCATTCATCACATTCTTCCTTGATACTGTTTTACATTGCTTTTTCTGTTACATCTACAAATTTAAATCTGAAAAAAGTTGGTTGACCCAAAATTGTTTTATATTTTTAGAATTCATTCCAGCAATGCTGTTTCAATTTGACCTTTATATCAGCAATTATTCAACAGTTACTCATTAAATGTGTATTTTCAACTAAAAATTCCTATGAAGAGTTTAATCTTTCTGTCTTTAACAGGTTATTTATTTATTTCTATTTGTTTGTTTATAGACTATGGCTTTATTTTTTCTGAAATTTAAATTTTATTCTTACAGAGCACTTGTCAAACCATTTCTGAGAATGTATCTTTTAAACTAAGATTATGCTTCTACCTTCATTATCTTATTTTCATTAAAATGAATAAACATCAGTATTCGTTGAGTGTGTTAGGTGTGTTTATCACAGTTACTTTCAAGAAGTGAATGAAACTTCTTTTTCGGAATACCCTTTCAAGATATATACATATCTCGTTTTCTCAGTATAAGAAGTAACTTATAAGAACTTACAAATATTAAGTAGTATATAAGCCCCACTTTTTCATTTTCTGGAAAAAGAATGACAAAAATATTAGCAGTCATACTATCACTGACCTCATGTTGTCATAGTCAAAGAATCATGTGAGGAACAGAAGGAGTTGTGCTCTGCTCTAGTGATTGTGTTTGGCTTGATCAGGCTGCATTTCTTAAAGCAAACTGGTAACCAGGAGACACAGGGACTTACAGAGTTACAAATAAACTTACTGCTATTGTTCTTATAATGATTTTTGTCATAGGTGTTATGAAATGGGGAATTTTTCTACTTGTGATTTATTATAGAGAGAGGGCAGAATTGTTTGAAAAGTGATGCTTACCTCATAGTTTTCTATTTTCCGGACACTGCACTAAGAATTTTATCCTTTTTTTTCACAATGGCCGTATGAGGTATGTCTTAGTTCTCTTTCCC